GACAGTATATATATACAGTATATATATATATATATATATATATATATAATATATATATATATAATACATATGTTTTACTTAAGCTGAATATTACTTACTGCAAATAGAATTATAATTGCCTGAAATACTTGTTCAGCTAACTGCTGGCCTTTAAAATCCTGCAAAAAGAAATGAAATTTAGTGCAGGGTACAACAGCCAGTCTTGCCTGTCTGACATAACAACGGTCTGTCGATCATCCTTCCGTCAGTCCGGTGTGGTGGTTAAAGAATAACCAAGTGTCTAGGCCTAGGCTAGGTACGTTAGGCTTGGCATACTTTTAGCCACATATTATTATTACACTTACCATATGTGAGGGTATTGACTTTAAAAAATCCATAATAGAGCTCCTCCTAATGTACAGGTATAACAAATAAATTAAGCCGACGTTTAATAATTATTATATTCTTGTAAATGTAATGAAATGATAAGTACTCTCATAACATTCGGAAAAGAATTATTAAGTCAACGTTGTATAAATGTGTCTATTTGCACGCACTTCAAGTTCACCGCTATTTATACGATGACATGTATGTCGCGCCACGTGCGACATCATTGTTATTTACTTGTGGCAACGTATCTCCAAAGATTATAGAATTGTTTAATGATGTAGCGATGTGATATCTGAATTTAATTGTATGTAGCTTCTGAATTTTTTTGTAAATTCAAGAGAACTTGAAACTATTTTTGTTTCTCTGTCCAATTACCTTTGCTAGTTTTCTGCCTGTCGTGAACAAACATCTGTGGGCGCACTGATGCGTGACTGATACATTTGGTTTGCTGGTAAACAAGATCATGTATAGAGTAGTGGTCTGATGTGGCATGAATGAATTTTAATTTGTCGGTCGGAACATTTTAATTTAGGAAAACAATTGCATCGGCAGATTCACTAGCCTTCGGTCTACTAACTTAAGCTAGGCCAAATATTTAAAAAAATATAGGGCCGGAGATAGGCCCTCCATACTACTACTCTAGGCCTAGTACTAAGCTCCTAGCTAGGCCACCACAAGGAAGCTTTCATCAAAAAGGTACGTACCCGGTGACGGTCGGTACTCGTTCGTTCGTTGTTCTCAGCTAGGATAGGACAGATAATGGCAGCTACTGTACCTACCTATTCAGGCAACCTTGGGTTGTTGTATTTGCTCCAAAGGTTGTTCTTGTGGAGGCCATAGTAGTAATAGGCATACTAAACTATAAGTGTACTATCTAGAATAGTCTGCCACAGCCAATGGTTGTCAGTGTTTATTGTTGTTGTTGCAATGTTAGTTGTTGTAATGGATGTATAAGGTTAAAGCTTAAATTACGAGCAATACTTCAATCAAGCGAGTAGGGAAAAGGTTAAAGAAAGCAAAATAAAAAGGGAATAAATAAAGAATAGAAAGGAAAATTTACAGAATGAAACAATTGAAATACAAGAAAGTAAATTAGAATTATTGAACACATGTACCAACATTTCAAAAGGTCATACCTTAAAAATCGCCTGGAAATTGGAGCTGAAATTTTGGATATCAAGGTATTTTTAGAATTTTGTAAAGGAAAATCCAATAGGGGTCATGGGAACTTTTAAATTTCTGACAGATTTGAGCCAGAATGACCCAATGGAGAGAGCGTGTCCGGAAAATTACCCCCTGGAAATTTCACACCCCCCCCCCAATGGACAATTATTC